TGACACATGCACAATTCATCCTTCTACTGTAAATACTCACCAGTAGTAGAGAATGTAGTTAGTCCCGGGACTTGCATTATGTCCAGGGAGCCAAGAGCACTTCATTTTACTCAGGTTGTGCCAAATACACTGCAGTTCAGTCACCGCTGACTCAGGATCACCTAGAAAAGCCATGTCATGAGTTTAGAACTTCTTTTTTCCTAATAATGTAAACTAGCCAGCTCACTCTGAAGCGTTGGGGTTGGTGAGGGTGTTTCATGCTACCTGACCAGTCAATCCCTAACCTCGCACCTATTTTACCCAAAAGACACCCAGGCCAGAGAAGGCCCAGATCAAATTTGCATATAACTTTCGCTATCAGCTCTTGATAATAAGAAACAGTTTCTGCTCTCTCTGAGGGACCCTAACTCTTATACTCCTAACTGGAGAGACACTGTAAAGGTAAAATAATATTATAATCATAGGCAATGACTATGGAATTTTAAATTTAATGCGGAAACAGAAACAACCCCTAACATCTCTACCTGTTTTTTTTTCTGGGGGGGGGGGGGGGGGGGGCTTTTCTGACACATAATTTGCCTGCTTATCTTTTGACTACACTGACACGGGCCTTGTTGAAAAAATTAAACAAGTCCATCAAGAGATGTATAGATAAACAAAACGTGGTCGATACATGCAGTGAAATACTACTCAGCCATAAAGAGACATGAAATCTTGAGAATGCCACATCATGGACGAATCTTGAAAACAGTAATGATGAATGAAACAAATCAGTAGCAAATGACTGATACCTTAGGATCTCGTGTATGTGAACTAAACATCTATAGAGAATCTAAAGATTACTGATGGTTAATAGGGGTGGGAAAGAAGCTCTGGTGGTACACTGGGTTAAGCATCAGGCTGCTAACAAAAGGCTGGCAGTTTGAACCCTATGCTATAAGATAAAGCATTAGACCACTAAGTCGGTTTGAACCACAAGGTTTGCAGTTCAAACTCACCAGCCACTCCTTGGAAATCCTATAGGGTTGCTATGACTCACAGTTGATTCAACGACACTGAACAACAACAAACTGCAAGGTTAGTGGTTTGAACCCACCACTCTGTGGGCAAACTATGTGGCAGACTGCTTCTATAAAGATTTATAGTCTTGGAAGCCCTAGGGAGCAGTTCTATTTTGTCCTACAGGTGTCAGAACTCCATGGCACTTTTAGAGGGAGGGGACAGAAGAGGGAGTTTTTTCTTGGAGGGGAGCACTGGGTTTAGGTTGATGGCGGAGGAATGTTTTAGACAGGGATAGAGATAATGGTGGCGGTTGCTGTTAAGTGCTGTCGAGTCGGCTCAGAATCATAGCTGCCCTGTATAGGGTTTCCAAGGAGCAGCTGGGCTGGTGGGTTTGAACTGCCAACCTTGCAGTTAGCAGTCCAGTGCTGATCCTATAACGCTGAACATGAAACATATGATCAACGTCCATGAATTGTAAATGTGGAAGTTGTGCTGGCAAATGTTTTGGCATGTACATTTTCACCACACACAAAAGAACAAACATCCCTACTGAAGCAATTTGGGGGAAGAATAAACAACTTCTAAAGCTGTCTATTATAAAAAACCTGGGCTCTTGAGTGGAATGTGACTCGTGGCAACCCTATAGCATAGCACAGAACTGTCCCACAGGATTTCCAAGACTGTGAATCTTTTCAAATGCAGATTGCTCCATCTTTCTCATAGACAGTGGCTGCTGGATTTGAACCACTGACTTTTCAGTTAGCAGTCAAGTCCTTAACCACTGCACAACCAGAGCTCCTTGCTGTGACTTTGTTGCTGTTGTTATGTGCCATTGAGTCAGCTCCAACTCATAGAAACCCTTGTATAGGGTTTCTGAGAGTGGCTGGTGGGCTTGAACTGTCAACCTTGTGGTTACCAGTCCAATGCTTAGGAACTCTACAATCTTTATGACCTGAAAAATCCCCAACCTTTTGAGTTAATGCATCACATCTCTAAATTAAATGCCTCTGCTTAAAATACCAACCTAGTATTCTTAATGGTCCTGGGATCTGCAACCATTTTACTGCCATAGTATCATGTTAAGTTTGTTCCAAGTACTCATAAACTTCTAAAGGAATGGGAATAGGATAGGTTGGTTGTTTGAGATCATGCTCCCAGTCTTCTGGTGGTGGTGGGTGTATTCTGTCAAGTGGGTTCCATCTCATAGTGACATTGTATAGGGTTTCTGAGGCTGTACGTCTTTAAAGGAGCAGAAAGCCTCATCTTTCTCTCCTGGAGCAGGTGGTGAATTTGAACTGAATGTATAACCCACTACTCCACCAGAGCTCCTGCCCCGTCTTCCAGCAGTAATGAATTTGATCATTTGATAACCTATTACTTCATATGCTTTCGATTCCTGGAAAGTGGGTAGAGAATGCTCTAGAACACAGGACATGTAGTGCTAAGGTTTGAAGGTGGGAGATGGAAAAGGACAACTAAGGGGCAACATGATATTAATAACGTATGCAGCATTCAAGGATCCCTGGTTATATAGTGGGTTAAGTGTTAGGTTGCTACCATTAGGTCAGTGGTTCAAGCCCACCAGATCCATGGGAGAAAGATGAAGCCATCTGCTCCTATAAAGATTTACTGTCTCAGAAACCCTAAGGAACAGTTCTACCTTGTCATACAGCGTCACTGTAAGTTGGGATCAATTTGATGGCAGCAGGCTTTATGCATTTCTTCTTTGCCATTAACTGTTCTAAGGCTCGTGGAAAAATTGAATGAAAATAGTTATGATATTTTCCATGAACTTTTTGAATCTCCCCTTATATAGGTCATCTCTAGTTAAGATTTACAGGATAACGCCTGTTGCTTAGTGTTAGGTGCTGTCAAGGAGGTTCTGACTCTTTTAACAACCCCATGCACAACAGAATGAAACTCTGATTCAGTGCCATCTTCACAATTGTTGTCATGCTTGAGCCCATTGCTGCTGCCACTATGGCAGTCCATCTCTTTGGGGGTCTTCCTCTTTTTCACTGACCCTCAACTTTACCAAGCATTATGTCCTTCTTCAGAGACTGGTCCCTTCTGACAACATGTTCAAAAACCAAGAGACAAGTCTCTCCATCCTTGCTCCTAAGGAGAGTTCTGACTGTACTTCTTCCAAGACAGATCTGTTTGTTCTTCTGGCAGTCCAGGTACTTTCAATATTCTTCTCCAACACAGTAATTCACATACATCTCCTACTTGCCCTTTAATGTTATGTAAATTTGCCTCACTTTGAAATGACTGAACCAAACCCTATTCAAATTCTTCATCACAAATCACCTTCATTTGCTGCATAGGCAGCTTTTAAATCATTGAAAATGCTCCCAGGCTTTCCCTCCACTAACCCCAAACCAAAAAACAAACCTACAGTCACCGAGTAGATTCCAATTTATAGTGACCCTATATAGGATTTCCTAGGCTGTAAATCTTTTTCCTGTGGAGTAGTGGTTTTGAACTGGCGACCTTGTGGTCAGCAATCCAGCACTTACCTTACAGCGATACCAGGACTCCTTTTTCTTGCACTAAAATGAGACTCAGTGGTCCAAGCTCATCAGCTGCTCCATGGAAACCTTATACAGGGTCACTATGGGTCAGAATTGATTCAACGGAACTTAACAACAACCAAATGAAACTAAGGAGTAGCTAATGTTACAGTCCAGAAACAATGGACCCAAGGACCATCAAGGGAGAAGAGTACAAGAGGAATGAGGGACCTTCTCCAGAGAAGCAGCGACACCAGAGATGGAGGCAGAGATTGGGACATGGAACGAGGGAGCGGCTGAGGACTCTGGATTCATGGACAGAAAGGGACTTGAAAGCTGGCGGCCAGGAGACAGACTTTCAGATTGTACCCTTTGGTGGTGTAAATTATTATATATGCCTGAGTGTTAAAAAAAAAAAAAAAAAGAGCTAAAATGAATAGAGAGAAATACTGTTAACGGATGGTACATGGTGGGTATTATAATTATTGTAATGAAACAAAGAATATGATTTATTGAATGCAAAACTGGATGATCTGCCCTGTAAACTTTCACTCAAATCGTAATAAAAAACTTTTTTTTAAAACTATAAATAAAAAATAAATAAAACTCCTAGAATCATTAAAAAAAAAAAGAATTCAACTGCTAGGTCGGTTTGAATCACAAGATCAGCAGTTCAAACTCACCAGCCGCTCCTCAGAAACCCTATACAGGGTCACTATGAGTCAGAGCTGACACAACAACATCTATCGACATCAACAGCAGAATACAGAAGTATAAGTGACAAGGTCACTGCCCTCAAGGAGGTAATAATAGCTTGCCTGTTAGAGAAAAGAAGCCTCCCAAGTGTCCAGACATGCTTCCAGGTTGATACATGAAAAAAACAAACAACTACTACAAATTCATAAAGACACAGTGAGGAATGGATCTCGTTCGGAGCCCGGGTACTGCCTATATTGACTTACGCCAGCCTCTCAACAATCCCGGGAGGTAGGTACTATTACCATCTCCATTTCACAGAGAAGGTAACTGAAGTACCGAGGGGTTAAGTAATCTACCTCCAAATCACAAAATTCCGAATTGGCAGGTGGGATTTAAACTTGAAACAGCTGGGCCTGACAGTCCTACTGCTATTCAGTATCTGCTACATAAGAACCTATCTATAGGGCATTGGGAGGTGGGTGGAAGCAAATCAGAGACTGACTGATGAATCTCACTACTTGGTGTGGTGCTGTAGGATAAGCACTGGACACCTAACCACAAGGTTGGTGGCTCAAAGCCACTAGCCAGTCCTTGGAAACCTTATATAGGGTTGCTATGAGTCAGAACCAACTCAAAGGCACACCAGACTCTGTTAATTCATGTTGTCTGTGAGCTCGCTGAAGGCTGGGATGTACTCTTATACTGTGTCAACATGTAGTTCAATATCAGGCACTATTAGTCTCTGGTAAATGTTTGAGAATCCAATTCATGAATGCACAATAAAAATAAGCACATATTTAATTTAGATTCATTTTCTAAACACCAAGAACTAGTGCTGTCAGATGAAGACAACGAAGACATGGGGAGGAGTGCAGCAGTGTAAGTGAACAGAGAGGTAAAAACTAACTGATGGTGCATGCGGGGACTCTAATCCCTGGAATGAAATGCAGTGGGTCATCTGCTGAATGTGGGACTGATGATCTACCCTGTAAACCTTCACTCAATTCACAATGGAAAGTTTTTTCAAGAATAGAAACAGTTCTTTCAGTTGTTACCTTCAGGGGGTGAGATGCACTTTTTCACCCAACTGCTACGTTTCTCACTTTCATTGGTGCTACACTGCGAACTCACTTGCAGACAAATCCTCTCATTCAGGGCCACTTCTTTGGAACGATGAGTTTCTGGAGCAATTTTCTAAGGTTAGGAAATTAAAAAAAAAAAAAAAAGTATTGTTTTAACAAAGGCACTATTAGAAATATACTTAAATAATAATTCATTCGCATATCCAGAGTGTGCGTGTGTGTGTGTGTGTATTTAAAGGTAAGTTCTTAAATGGGATAGATAAGTGATGCTCAACAAAGAGTGATTTTGCCCTCTCCCCTTGGAGACCTTGGAGTGGAGGCCAGGGATGCTGGGAAACATCCTACAATGCATAGGATCCAAGCCCAGACCCACTGCCATCAAGTGGGTTCCGACCCTTAGCGGTCCTAAATAGGGTTTCTGAAAAATCTTTATAAAGCCTTATCTTTCTTCCATGGAGTGGCTGGTGTGACTGAACTGGTTATCTTGAGGTTAATGGGTCGGTGCTTATCCTAGAGTGCCACCAGGGCTCCTTAATGCACAGGACAGTCCCCCACAATAAAGAATTTTCCTGCCTCAAAGGTCAGTAGTAGTGCAGCTGTAGCGCAACCCTGGGACAGGTAACGACACTTTCATTTTTAAATGTAGAAACATCCTGCTAACATATCAACTGTCTAAAATCAATTTTGAAAGAAGTACAATATGAACAAAGTTCAATTCCAAGCAGACATTGCATACCATCATGTTCACAGTGAAAAAGATGGCTTTAACTGACCAGTCATTGTGGTCACCTCTAAGGAAAGGTGAGCCCTTCGGTGGTGCGATGATTAATGTAATCCGCTGCTAACTTTCAAGGTTGGACAGGTTCAAGTCCACCCAGAGGCTCTTTTGAAGAAAAGCTTAGTGATCTACTTTGGAAAAATGTAGCTATTGAAAACCAAATGGAGCACAGTTCTACTCTGACACATATGAGGTTACCATGAGTTGGAAAATGAGTCCATGGCACGTGGTTTGGATATCGAGGAAGGAGAAGTCAAAGACTTCACTGAGCACCTAACTGTTCATTTTGACTACTTGGGCTATCTCACATGCATTGCTGTTGTTAAGTGCCGTTGAGTCGGTTCCTAATCATAGCGACCCTGTATAGGGTTTCTGAGGAGCAGCTTCAGTCCTGTGCTTATCCTACAGAGCCACAACAGGGCTCCATCTCACATGCATATATATAAAATTTAAGGGAGCACTGGTATGGTGTTGTAAGATAAGCACTGGACTGCTAACCATAAGGTCAGCAGTTCAAATCTACCAGCTGCTCCTTGGAAACCCTATAAAGGGTCACTACAAGTATGAATCAACTTGATGGCAACAATACATGTGAGATAGCCCAAGTAGTCAAATTGTACCGTGAGGAGTTATGGTGGTGCTGTAGGAAAAGCACTGGACTGCTAACTGCAAGGTCAGCACTTCAAACCCACCAGCTGCTCCACAGGAGAAAGCTGAGACTTTCTGCCCCCATAAAGACTGACAGCCTTGGCCATCCAATCCCAGGTCACTATGAGTCAGGACCAACTCCATGCCAGTGAGTTGGGTTGGGTTTATACGCACTCAGTACACTACACTCCAATTCTGAAAAGTAGCTAAGCTATGTGGAACCACAGAAAATCAACTCGCAGGCAGAATACAGATATAAATCCTAAATCTGGTTATTGTGATTTAGACTAATGAGCTCTAAGGGCTGTTTCAGAAATTAAGAGTTCCCAAGGCGACAGAATTAGAATGGAGCTGTACAGTGCAATAAATTACTTGATACGGCTCTTCTACCCAGTGTTTGTGAGTCCTTACAAATGACAGGGTAGAATTATGCAAATGTGAGGTGCTTGTGGTCTACCATGGGGACTGGATAGCTTGCTAATTATGTAAATAAGATACCATGCAAATAGGGTATATGAAACTCTAGCAGGGGAATTGGTCAGTTTTATCATCCTGTTAGGTTTAAAATGAACCACCTCAGAAGCGTAAAGGGGGATGGCTCTCTACCATCAAGAAAGAAGAGCCAGAAGTGGGGTTAAGGCAGCAATGAAGACATGGGCTGAGTTCAACCACATTCCGTAAACTCCCGTTGACGTGGAGATGAGAGAGTGAAGAGGAAGGGCTGGTTGGTGAGAAATGTGGTGAGACCTGGGGAAACTTAAGCCCATGGACAAAGACATAAGCAACTGAGGGCTAGAGCTGAGGGTACAGCATCCAGCTGATATGAAGTGAGGGGAGAGGTACAAGAAAGCCCAAACCTGCAGACAGTACCCATTTAACCTAGCTTCAATGGCTTGAAGATCACAACTCGACTAAAAGAAGTTAAAAAAATTTAATAAGGGAAACAAGTGTAAATTGCTACAATTTGATGAACTCAACCTACACTTACGGATGTAGTAGCTCAAAATACAAACTGAGAGGGGAGTAGTCTTCACATCAAGGATCAATCCTATTCCCTCTGTAGGCAAGATTGATAGGGACACACAACTTAAATATTGGCTACCTAAAATGGGGGGAGAGGGCTATAAAGGCACAAAGTGCCTGGCTTACACCTTTTCAAGAGGGAGTTTAGTTTGAGTGTATGGGGGAAGGTAGAATCCCCACTGAATAGATTTTATCTTGTCCAGACAGGTCTGGTGAAAGGAAATGGGGATAAGATTCTTATGATTCAACAGTAATTGTTATCATGACTAATTGCGATTGTCACAACTGTAAAGGTAGAAGTTTTATAATATAAAGAGGCAAGTAGTCAGTCTTATAGTCCAGGAACAGAGGACCCTCGGACCACCCAAGGAGAAGAGTATGAGTGGATTATGGGATCTGAACCAGAGAAGCAGCAACACCAGAGATGGGGGCAGAGGTGATGACACAGAGACATAGAGCAGTTGAGGACTCATGAAAAGAAAGGCTGTGTGCTGGTGGTGGCCAAGAGGCTGGCTTGCAGAATTTGTGGTTGTTTAAATGATTATATATTCCTAATTGTTTATGTGTACATCAAAATACAAAGGAAGACACAAAAACTGAGGGAATAGAAGCAAACACTGTTGAATAATGATGCTTGGAGGGAGTTGTCATCATTGCAGTGAAATGAAATATGTTGAGTGCAAAACCGATGTTCTCCCAGTAAACTTTCACTTAATTCACAATAAAAGCTAAAAAAAAGAAGAGCCAGGAATGGAGCACATCCTTCCTTCAGACCCTCAGATTCCTGTACACTGAACCTCCTCAGACCAGGATAGAGAGGTGACACCAGACAAGGTGGCATCAGAGGCAGCAACAGCAAAAGCATGAGCTAGAGCAGTAGGCTTCCTGGCCCAGAATCAGAAAATGGAGTGTCTTCAGGATGATGTTACTGGTGCAGGGGAATGCCTTCTGGGCATTTATTAGCAGAACTGAAAGAGTTCTGTAACACTGCCAGAGCGAGGCAGAGGCCAAGCAGCCCTGTAGCTGAAAGGTCAAGGACTAAAGAGAGGCATGGCATGCCTGCAGGTATGACTAAGGAGAGGCTGTTCTGACCAAAGCATGTTCTTGCTCCTGAATTGTAACATGTTAACTTCCCCAGTAAGCCCCAGGATCCTGAGTGGTGATGGTAGTATTTATGTGAATTCTGTGTGGCCACTGTAACAGATTATAGAACCCAGCAGAGAACTACAGGGTACCTAGAAATGGACAGTTGGTGTCAGAATCGGTAAAGATGGCTGGCGGGTGGAGACATGTCTGACCTCCGCCTCTAGGACTCAGTCTTAGAATGATGTTGAGTTTAATTTTCAATCCCTCTGGTGAAGTCAAAAGAGTTCAGACATCATCCCTATGTCATTTTTTACAAGCTGCTTTTAATCAGAGCTCCAAGGACAGAACTTCCTGTTTTGTTATATTTTCGGACTCAAGTTGGAGATAGCATTTCCTTTCATATACGTGCTTATGGTCATAAAAGGGAAAATCTGTCATTGTTACCTCTATATCCCACCCCAAGGGATTGTTTTGCCATTTCACATACCTGCAGCCAGCTAAGCATGAGGGCAAGCCTGAAATAGCCTCAAAAGCAGGACCTGAGAGGCAAACTACCAAATCAACAATTAATGAATGAATCACAGCAAAGACATAAAAAATTACTTTGCAGAGACAGAATGGCTCTTGGGCCCAAGCAAGATAGCACTCTGAAACGGAGTTGGTCAGCTCTGAAATCACAGAAAGAAAAAGAAAAAAAAAAAAGTCTATAACATGTGTTAATTTGATTAACAGGGAAGGCAGTATACAGCAAGAGGAAAGTAGGCAGAAGAATGATGAAGGCAGGGGGAAACATGAGGAAGAGTACAAGAGTTAAAGGGAACAGAGGTTAATACTGTTATATACACAAATCTGTAATAACAATGCTCTATGGGTAGAGACATGGCTAGATACACAAGCTGAATGGGTGTGGAAGGAAGAATGAGAGTACACTTACAAATATAAAAAGGTTTGACAGAGGATACATGTACATAGTTATTTACCTTTGCTGCAAACATATCCATGAAATGTGGTAGGTAAACAGGTAGCAAGAATATGAATACTTCTTAGAGCGAATGAGTTGTTGGGCCTGGGTGCTGAAGACCATAGTCTCAGGGGACAACATGGGCAATTGGCATAACGTAGTCCACAAAGACAGTGTTCAATATTCTGCTTTGGTGAAAAGTAACTGGGATCTTAAAAGCTCATTTTTCTTTTTTTAATCTTTAACCATTTTTCTTTCTTTCTTTTTCTTTTTTTTAAGGTTTTTATTGTGGATTGAGTGAAAGTTTACAGGGCACATCATCAGTTTCACATTCAACCATTCATATGACTTATTTCATTACATTGATTATAATCCCCTCCATACATCATCAGTTAACAGTATAAAAGCTCATTTTTAAAAGGTAATTTAAGGTTCAACTATTGGTCTTTCCCTGTCTGGAGGAAAGAAGAGTGATGAAAATTGAAGACATTTGGAAACAATTAGTCTAATTGACTAAAGCACCAAATGAACATCAGTCTCCACAATACTGAGACCAACTGCCATAAAATGGATTACATTAGAAGGTCTTGGATAGCGTGTGTGTGTGTGTGGGAAA